GGTGAATGGATAAACAAACTGTAGCAAATCCATAAAGTGGAATATTACTCAGAAATAAAAAGAAACAAACTCCTGAGACACACACAATTTGGATGAATCTCAAAGGCACTATGCTGAGTGAAAGAAGCCACTTACCTATCACGATTCCACCTATATGACATTCTCAAAAAGACAAAACTACAAATAATCACACACACACACACACACACACACACACACGACAAAACTACAGTGAAAAAGAGCTAAGGGATTGCTAGGGGTTGTGGATGGAAAAGAGGTGACTATAAAGGCAGAGCACAACGGAGTTTTTGAGGTGGAACTGTTCTGTATACTAATTGTGGCAGTAATTACAGAAATCTATATATGTTTTAGAATTCATAGACATGTATACCCCAAAAAAGTCAATTTTACTTATATTAATTTTGAAGATAAAATTGAAAAAATTTAACTCTTCAGAGATAATTGGTTAACTAAACAGGAATTTAAAGTTACTATATATCAAAACATACTCTAAATGAACTAAAAAGCTAAACGTAAATTATGAAATAATACTCATCTTAATATATATGACACTCCTATAAATAAACTTTTAAAAAGAATATACCCAGAGAAAAATGGGCCAAGACATGAATAAACAGAACTAAGTATAGGAAAATGCTTTATTTCACAAATAACTGAATAAATAAACAGTAAAGCAATGAGACAGTATTTTTTGTCAACTGGATCACAGACACAAAAAAAACTTAGAGGGGCCCGGCGCGGTAGCTCAAGCCTGTAATCCCAGCACTTTGGGAGGCCGAGGCGGGTGGATCACGAGGTCAAGAGATCGAGACCATCCTGGTCAACAAGGTGAAACCCCGTCTCTACTAAAAATACAAAAAGTTAGCTGGGCATGGTGGTGCGTGCCTGTAATCCCAGCTACTTAGGAGGCTGAGGCAGGAGAATTGCCTGAACCCAGGAGGCGGAGGTTGCGGTGAGCCGAGATCGCGCCATTGCACTCCAGCCTGGGTAACAAGAGCGAAACTCCGTCTCAAAAAAAAAAAAAAAAAACCTTAGAAGAATGATAACATTCAGTACTGGCAAAAGTGGCGAAAAAAATCTAAAGAAAACTAGTTTGGAGCCTAAAGTGCTATAAGATCTCCTAAAGGTAATCTGGATGTCTATACGTATCAAAAAATTCATATACATACACATATACTGTTTTTTCACTTCCAAGAATTTAAGTAAAATAACCCACAGTGCAGAAAAATATATGAAGCTTACTCATAACAAAATATAAATTTAAAAAGGTTAAATAATTATACATTTGGCCAGGTGAGGTGGCTCACGCCTATAATCCCAGTACATTGGGAGGCCAAGGTGGGTGGATTGATCACCTGAGGTCAAGAGTTCGAGACCAGCATGACCAACATGGTGAAACCTCATCTCTACTAAAGCCCAAAAACTAGCCCGGCATGGTGGTAAGTGCCTGTAATCCCAGCTACTCAGAAGGCTGAGGCAGGAGAAACACTTGAACCCAGGAGACAGAGGTTGCAGTGAACTGCGATCGTGCCACTGCACTCCAGCCTGAGCAACAAGAGCAAACCTCAGTCTCAAAAATTAAATAAAATAATTATACATCCCTATAATAGAATAATAAGTAGCCATTACAAATCCAAGTCACTTGAACAGTTGATGAAATCAGATTATGTTATTTTAGTAATCACTGCTATAATTTCCTACTTGTTCTCCAAAGTAAAGGTAAAAGACATAGGTTTTGCATGGTTTTTGGGTTTTGTGGGGTTTTTAGGATTTGCGGGGTTTTTAAGTTTTGCGGGGTTTTTTCTGTTTTTTGCTTTTTGTTGTTGTTTTTTTCTGAGACAGGGTCTGGCTTCATTGCCCAGGCTGGAGTGCAATAGTACATACAATCTCAGCTCACTGCAACCTCCACCTCCCAGGCTCAAGCCATCCTCCCACCTCAGCTCCCAAGTAGCTGCAACTACAGTGCACACCATCACACCTGGCTAATTTTTGTATTTTTTTTGTAGAAACGGGGTTTCGCTATATTGCCCAGGTTGGTCTCAAACCCCTGAGCTCAAGCAATCTGCCTACCTCAGCCTTCCAAAGTGTTGACATTATAGTCATGAGCCACCATGCCAGCCAAGATTCAGGTTTTTCTTTTTTTTTTTTTCTCTTTTTCTGGGAGGGGGGTCGTAGGTTTGCAAGCTAGGAGGGGGTCGTAGGGTATCAATTTAGGTTTTTCTTCAATGACAAAACAATGTTCATGACAGAATGATATGTTTTCAAAGAAAGTAAAATATAAGATCATATACAAGCTAAATTTTATTTTTAAAATGCATGTGAATTAGAGCCGGGTGAGGTGGCTCACACAGTAATCCCAGCACTTTGGGAAGTCAAGGCAGGTGAATCACAGGGTCAGGAGGTCAAGACAAGCCTGGTCAACAAGGTGAAATCCTGTCTCTACTTAAAATACAAAAAATTAAGGGCCGGGCGTGGTGGCTCAAGCCTGTAATCCCAGCACTTTGGGAGGCCGAGGCGGGCGGATCATGAGGTCAAGAGATCAAGACCGGCCGGGCGCGGTGGCTCAAGCCTGTAATCCCAGCACTTTGGGAGGCCGAGGCGGGTGGATCACAAGGTCGAGAGATCGAGACCAACCTGGTCAACATGGTGAAACCCCGTCTCTACTAAAAATACAAAAAATTAGCTGGGCATGGTGGCGCGTGCCTATAATCCCAGCTACTCAGGAGGCTGAGGCAGGAGAATTGCCTGAACCCAGGAGGCGGAGGTTGCGGTGAGCCGAGATCGTGCCATTGCACTCCAGCCTGGGTAACAAGAGCGAAACTCCGTCTCAAAAAAAAAAAAAAAAAAAGAGATCAAGACCATCTTGGTCAACATGGTGAAACCCCGTCTCTACTAAAAAATACGAAACATTAGCTGGGCATGGTGGCGCGTGCCTGTAATCCCAGCTACTCAGGAGGCTGAGGCAGGAGAATTGCCTGAACTCAGGAGGCGGAGGTTGCGGTGAGCTGAGATCGCGCCATTGCACTCCAGCCTGGGTAACAAGAACGAAACTCCGTCTCAGAAAAAAAAAAAAAAAGATCACAAAAAATTAGCTGGCTGTAGTGGCAGGCACCTGTAATGCCAGCTACTCAGGAGGCTGAGGCAGGAGAATTGCTTGAACCTGGGAGGCAGAGGTTGCAGCCAGTCAACATTGCACCACTGCACTCCAGCCTGGGCAACAGAGTAAGACTCTGTCTAAAAAAAAAAAAAAAAAAAAAAAGCATGTGAGTGTACAGACACATTGATACACACATATATATAGTATTTTCTCAATTTTCTATAATAATAAACATATATTGCTTTCATACATTTTTTTCGGATTGATAAACATTTTTTTTTTTTTTTCTGAGACAGAGTCTCACTCTGTCACTCAGGCTGGAGTGCAGTGGCACCATCTCAGTTCACTGCAACCTCCGCCTCCTGGGTTCAAACAATTTTCCTGCCTCAACCACCCAAGTAGCTGGGATTACAGGCACCTGCCACCGAGCCTGGCTAATTTTTTTTTTTTTTTTTTTTTTTGAGACAAGAGTTTCGCTCTTTTTTCCCAGGCTGGAGTGCAATGGCGCGATCTCGGCTCACCGCAACCTCCGCCTCCTGGGTTCAGGCAATTCTCCTGCCTCAGCCTCCTGAGTAGCTGGGATTACAGGCACGCGCCACCATGCCCAGCTAATTTTTTGTATTTTTAGTAGAGACGGGGTTTCACCATGTTGACCAGGATGGTCTCGATCTCTTGACCTCGTGATCCACCCGCCTCAGCCTTCCAAAGTGCTGGGATTACAGGCTTGAGCCACCAGGCCCGGCCTAATTTTTGTATTTTTAGTACAGATGGGGTTTCACCATGTTGGCCAGGCCAGTCTCAAACTCCCGACCTCTGATCTGCCTGCCTTGGCCTCCCAAAATGCTGGGGTTACAGGAGTGAGCCACCCCACTCAGCCGAATCAATATAATTTTTTTTTTTTTTTTCTGAGATGGAGTCTCAGCTCAAGGGCAGTAGCTGGGACTACAGGCATGAGCCACCACATCCAGCTAAATTTTGTATTTTTAGTAGAGACAGGGTTTCATCATGTTGGTCAGGATGGTCTCAACCTCTTGACCTCGTGATCCACCCAGCTTGGCCTCCCAAAGTGCCACTGTGCCCAGCCAATATACATTCTGTTAAATCAACTAAATTATATCCATAATGAGTTTAGAACTTTTTTATAACCTGGATTATCTGGTATTATCCTGGTCACAAGCATTTCACTGTTACCTAAATATGGCAATTCTACATGCAAATTTGTCTTTTAGTTACTAATCCCAAATGAGCCGACTGTCCAAAGGCAGATGATCTACAGATAATGGCATCTCATTAATATCACCACCCAAAAGATGCAGAATACTGTGTATATTAAAATTAGCCTTTTGTGTCTTAAATTTTTTTTTGAGACAGTCTCATGCTGTCTCCCAGCCTGGAGTGCAGTGGCGCAATCTTGGCTCACTGCAACCTCCATCTCCCAGGTTCCAGCGATTCTCCTGCCACAGTCTCCCAAGTAGCTGGGATTATAGGCACATGCCACCACACCCAACTAATTTTTTTTGCATTTTTAGTACAGACAGGGTTTCACCATGTTAGCCAGGCTGGTCTCGAACTCCCGACCTTAAGTAATCTGTCCACCTCGGCCTCCCAAAGTGCTGGGATTACAGGCATGAGCCACTGCGCCCAGAGCAGTATGTTTTAAAATCTATTAAAGACATTTCTTTAATACACAGAAACTTACAACCTGCTATGTCCATATACTTTTTTTTTTCAGTTCAATATTACAAGAAGCCATAAGACATACTTATCTTTTTTGGTGGGGGAAGAGGTTTACATCTCCTTATTGTTTGATTTATGTACCATTTTCGTATTCTTTTTTAATATTTGACATTTCTTTTAAGTTTCTTGTTTAGTTTGCACTTACCATGGAGCACTTCGCCAGAACTTCCTCCTGGAATCTCAGGAATCCTTCCTGAACTTCAACTTCATTGAGGAAAAAGGAAAGGAAATGAGTGAAGGGCTGTTTTCTTCTAAAAGTGTGCAAAAGAACATCAATCCGTGTTCGGGCTGAAATTACACCATTTCGATGCTGGCCAGTGATTACTGCAAACAAAGAAGAAAGGGTTAACATGCTCAAGAACCCCCAAATGCTTATAAGATAGGGGACCTCTTGATACTGTCATCTCTGAGGAGCTAAAGCAATTCTGAATTCGTATGTGAATCTAAACAGGGGACAGTAACAAGTGTAAAAAAAACTGCTAATTAATTCAATGTAAGCAGAATAAAGCTTATAAATAGAAAATATCCTTAAGATGCCTTATAAAGTAGAAAAATGAATTCAAATGCTACAAAGCAAACCTTTGCTGATAGGAATGTAAAATGGTGTAGCCACTATGAAAAAGTTTGGTAATTCCTTAAAAAGTTACACATAGCTGGGCATGGTGGCTCACACCTGTAATCCCAGAATTTTGAGAGGCTGAGGTGGGCAGATCACTTGAGATCAGGAGTTTGAGACCAGCCTGGCCAATATGGAGAAACCCCATCTCTACTAAAAATACAAAAATTAGCTAGGAGTGGTGGCACATGTCTGTAATCCCAGCTACTTGGGAGGCTGAGGCATGAGAATGGCTTAAACCAGCAAGGTGGAGATTGCAGTCAACTGAGAGCATGCCACTGAACTCCAGCCTGGGTGACAGAGCTAAGACTCTGTCTCCAAAAAAAAAGTTAAACATAGACTTACCATATAACCCAGAAATTCCACTCTTAGGGATACACAAAATAAGTAAAAACAGAAAGAGAGGAAGAAAGGGGGGCAGCGGGGGGAGGAACAGGAAGGAAGGACAGGGGAGGGGAGAGGAAAGGGAAAAAAGAAGGGAAGGGGAAGGGAAAGGAAAGGGAAAGGGAAAGGCAAGGCATGGTAGCTCATGCCTGCAATCCCAGCACTTTGGGGGGCGGCGGGAAGCTTCTGATGTTCCAGAAGCTCTTCTTCTGACTTATGTATTTATTTATTTTTCGAGACCGAGTCTTGCTCAGTCACCCAGGCTACAGTGCAATGGTGCAATCTCAGTTCACTGGAACCTCTGCCTCCCAGGATCAAGCAATTCTCCTGCCCAGCCTCTAGAGTAGCTGGGATTATAGGCACATGCCACTACGCCTGACTAATTTTTGTATTCTTAGAAGAGATGGGGTTTCACCATCTTGGCCAGGCTGGTCTCAAACTCCTGACCTCATCATCTGCCTACCTCTGCCTCCCAAAGTGCTTGGATTACAGGTGTGAGCCACCGCACCTGGCCCAATAAACCAGTTTATTCTCTTGCTTTTCAATTAAATTAGTTCCACTAAATTCTTACATTTAACAATTAGACACACTAATTTTTCCTTTTTTTTTTCACCTTGCTCTGTTGCCCAGGATGGAGTACAGTGGCATGATCTCAGCTCACTGCATCCTTTACCTCCCAGGTTCAAGCAATTCTCCTGCTTCAGCCTCTTTAGTAGCTGGGATTACAGGCATGAGCTACCATGCCTGGCCAATTTTGTATTTTAGTAAAGACAAGGTTTCACCATATTGGTCAGGCTGGTCTCGAACTTCTGACCTCAAGTGATCCATCCTCTTCGGCCTCCCAAAGTGTTGAGATTACAGGCATGAGCCACCGTTCCTGCCTAGTTTTTTTTCTTTGTTGTTGCTGTTGCTGTTTGAGACAGAGTCTCATTGTGTAACCCAGTTAGAGTGCAATGGTACGATCATGGCTCACTGCAACCTCGACCTTCCCAGATAAAAGATCCTCCCACCTCAGCCTCCCAAGTAGCTGTGACTACAAGCACACACACCAGCACACCCAGCCAATTTTTTTTTTTTTTTTTTTTTTTTTTTTTTTTTTTTTTTTGTAGAGATGGGGTTTTGCCATGTTGCCCAGGCTGACCTTGAACACCTGGGCTCAAGTGAGCCTCCCACCTAGAACTCCCAAAGTGTTGGGATTACAGGCATAAGCCACCAAGCCCAAACTGATACTCTAGTTTTTCACACTGCAACATTTGTGCTAAGTTGAAATGGAATCTTTACAGCCTGTCTACTCTTTTCTGGATAAGTCTGGAATGACTCTAGCACATTTTTTTTTTTTTTGGAGACAGAGTCTCACTCTGTCACCCAGACTGAAATGCAGTGGCACGATCTCGGCTCACTGCAACCTCTGTCTCCTGGGTTCAATCGATTCTTCTGCCTCAGCCTCATGAGTAGCTGGGATTACAGGCATACTCCACCACACCCGGCTAATTTTTGTATTTTTAGTAGAGACGGGGTTTCACCATCTTGGCCAGGCTGTTCTCGAACTCCTTACCTTGTGATCCACCTGTCTAGGCCTCCCAAAGTGCTGGGATTACAGGCGTAAGCCACTGTGCCTGGCCAACTCTAGTATATTAAAATGGCTAAAGTCTCCACATTTATACCATGTTATAACTTTACTGCAATAAAAAATATCATAGAGGCCGGGCGCGGTGGCTCAAGCCTGTAATCCCAGCACTTTGGGAGGCCGAGGCGGGTGGATCACAAGGTCAAGAGATCGAGACCATCCTGGTCAACATGATGAAACCCCGCCTCTACTAAAAATACAAAAAAATTAGCTGGGCATGGTGGTACGTGCTTGTAATCCCAGCTACTCAGGAGGCTGAGGCAGGAGAATTGCCTGAACCCAGGAGGAGGAGGTTGCAGTGAGCCGAGATCGTGCCATTGCACTCCAGCCTGGGTAACAAGAGCGAAACTCTGCCTCAAAAAAAATAAATAAATAAATAAATATCATATAACTGGTGAGGCACGGTGGCTCATGCCTATAATCCCAGCACTTTGGGAGGCCGAGGCAGGTGGATTATCTGAGGTCATGAGTTGAAGACCAGCCTGACCAACATGGAGAAACCTCGCCTCTACTAAAAATACAAAATTAGCTGGGCCTGTAATATAAAAATTACATGCCTGTAATCCTAGCTCCTCAGGAGGCTGAGGCAGAGAACTGCTTAAACTCAGGAGGCAGAGGTTGCAGTGAGCCAAAATCATGCCACTGCACTCCACCCTGGGTGACAGAGCAAGACTCCATCTTAAAAAAAATTAACAAACAAAATTAGTTGGGTATGGTGGTGCATGCCTGTAATCCCAGCTACTTGGGAGGCTGAGGAAGGAGAATCACTTGAACCCGGGAGGTGGAAGTTGCAGTGAGCCAAGATCACACCACTGCACTCCAGCCTGGGCAACAAGAGCAAAACTCCATCTCAATAAAAACACAAAAACACACACACACACACACACACACACACACACACATATGTACGTATATAAAACTTACTACACAGATAGAAAAATGGGGAACATATAACAAGTGTTAATAGCAATTATGTTTGGATTCATATTATAAGAGACTTCCATTTATACATTATATATGATTTCTGTAAGCTTTCTCTTTTTTGAAAGCATGTATTAGTTTTATAATCAGAAAAAATAGATGACACTTTAATGCAATTATAAAATGACTTTAGTATTTGTAACTTGAATGTTAAAACTTAAGGAAAATAAATGTTCGCACTTACAATTCTAACAACCTGAATATTTACTTTAATAAAAATCTTTCCAAATGCTGTTAAAGTTCTAATGCTAGAGTTTGTTAACATTATCAGGGAACTAAAGAAAACCGCAGCACTGCACTGGCCAATATGGGAGCCCACATGCAGTTAGTTAAAATAATCTGAATTCAGTAAATGTAAAAATTCAGTTCTTCTCACACTAGCAGTATTTCAAGTACTCACAGTCACATGTGACCAGTACCTGACACATGCAGCTCCTATGCTAGATGGCATGGATACAGAACATTCTCACCATCACAGTAAGTACTTCTGGATAGCACTGCTCTAAAGTCAATTGCTACTTATCTGCTGTCAAGGTGATTATTCTTTTGTGTGTGTGTGTGACAGGGTCTCACTCTGTCGCCCAGGCTGGAGCATGGTGGCATGAACACAGCTCACTGCAGCCTCTACCTCCTGGGCCCAAGCGATCCTCCCACCTCAATCTCCCGGAGTGCTGACATTACAGGTATGTGCCACTGTCTCCAGTCAAGGTGATTATTCTTACAATTTTTTTCGCAAAAACAATACAATTCATGAGCATTAAGGGAAAATGGGGCTGGGGTCAGTGACTCAGGTCTATAATCCCAGCACTCTGGGAGGCCAAGGAGGAAGGATCACTTAAACCCAGGAGTTCAAAGCCTGCCTGGGCAACATAGCAAGACCCCATCTCTACAAAAAATAATAAAAATTATCTGGGCATGGTGGCATGTGCCTGTAGTTACAGCTACTTGGAAGGCTGAGGGAGGAGGATTGCTTGAGCCCAGGAGTTCAAGGCTACAGTGATCTATGACAGAGTCACTGCACTGTAGCCTGGGCAACATGTTCATGCCTGTAACTCCAATACTTTGGAAGCCAAGGCAGGCAGGTCACTTGAGTTCAGGCGTTCCAGACCAGCCTTGTCTCTACAAAAAATACAAAAAAATTTAAAAATTAGCCAGGTATGGTGGCATGTGCCTATAGTCCCAGCTATGGGAGGCTGAGATGGGAGAACTGATTGATCCCAGGAGGTAGAGGCTGCATTGAGCTGTGATCATGCCACTACACTCTAGCCTGGACAACAGAGAGAGACTGTCTCCAAAAAAAAACACTAAAATAAATGATTAGAAGGCTGCATATGGTGGCTCAGCCTGTAATCCCAGCACCTTGGGAGGCCGAGACAGGCAGATTACTTGAGACCAAAAGTTCAAGATCGGCCTGGGAAACATGGTGAAACCCTGTCTCAATAAAAAATAAAAACTTTTAAATGAAAAAAGAAAAAAAATGGGTTAATGAATTATTGGAGGTTGCTGTACTCTTTGACTTTAAAAAAGTTCCATCAGCCAGGCATGGTAGCTCACACCTGTAATCCCAGCACTTTAAAAGGCCAAGATGGGTGGATCACTTGAGACCAGCCTGGCCAACATGGCGAAACCCTGTCTCTATGAATAAATACAAAAATTAGCTGGGTATGCTGGCACACGGCTATAGGCCCAGCTACTCAGGAGGCTGAGGCAGAAGAATTGCTTGAACCTGCAGGACAGAGGTTGCAGTGAGCCTTGGCACTCCAGCCTGGACAACAGAGCCAGACTGTCTCAAAAAAAAAAAAAAAAAAAATCCATCCTTCCAGAATAAGTTTACAATTTTGTCCTAACAATGCCCCTCACTCAAAGCCATTGTACAACAAAAGCCTATGCCATTGGTTCACACTGAGGCTTCATACAGATACTTTCTGACTTGATTTATACTGCTAAACTATTTTTCCTCAACAGAATAGTTATTTGAATCAAGTTACATTATTTTAATCACTACCCTTTTTTTTTTTATGATTTGCCTTAGGTTTAATAAAAATTAACTGTCAAAAATAAAATCAAAATATTTCTTTTTACTTATCTGACACACATAATACAAATGTATGTGATAGTACAAGTTTACATTTGAAACTAAAAAGTAAAAATTAAATAATGGAAATATTTTGTTAATTTCTTTCATTTCCTTCCTGGTTTACAAAATCAAGGGCAAAAAGTTGAGAACATAATGGAAAAGGCTAAACTTTATTTCATCTTCACTGATCCCATTGGTTTTCTCTAATTCTAACTGGAAACAATTCACAAATCCACTTCAAGCTACCAAAGCACAAAAATAAACCTAGGCCAGGCACGGTGGCTCACGCCTGTAATCCCAGCACTTTGGGAAGTGGAGGTGGTCAGCTCATGAGGTCAGGAGTTCGAGACTAGCCTGACCAACACAGTGAAACCTCGTCTCTACTAAAAATACAAAAATTAGCCAGGTGTGGTGGCACACACCTGTAGTGCCAGCTACTCGGGAGACTGAGGCAAGAGAATCGTTTGAACCCAGGAGGCGGAGGTTGCAGTGAGCCGAGACCATGCCATTGCACTCCAGCCTGGGTAACAAGAGTGAAACTCCAACTCAAAAAAAAAAAAAAAAAAAAGAAAAGAAAAAAGAAATCTAATACACAGTGAAGTCTACAAGCTATATTCCATCAATCATCAATGTATGGTAAAGTATAAAATTAAGGCCCTGGTACTCAGTCAAGGTAAGGCTGTATAATTCCATCTTTCCTCATTTGGGAGATTGGTACTGATAAACCATAAAAAGGCCCATAGCTATAGAACCGCACAGAGAACGTAGTTACTAAACGCTGCAATCAGTTACATTATTCCATACACATGCAAAAGTGACTTCAAATATAACTTGTATCTACTGAGTCTCACCAATTTCCCCATCTTGTCCAGGTTTAGGAATGCTAATAGACGTTTTGGTCTCCATTTCTATTTTCTTCCTAGTGTCTCCTCTCTTTCCAACTATATGCCTGTATAAAGAAAAAGTAATTAAAAGGATATTAAGTCAAAATGTACCAAACTTAAGAATCTCATCATGGCCGGGCGCGGTGGCTCAGCCTGTAATCCCAGCACTTTGGGAGGCCGAGGCGGGTGGATCACGAGGTCAAGAGATCGAGACCATCCTGGTCAACATGGTGAAACCCCGTCTCTACTAAAAATACAAAAAATTAGCTGGGCATGGTGGCGTGTGCCTGTGATCCCAGCTACTCAGGAGGCTGAGGCAGGAGAATTGCCTGAACCCAGGAGGCGGAGGTTGCGGTGAGCCGAGATCGCGCCATTGCACTCCAGCCTGGGTAACAAGAGTGGAACTCTGTCTCAAAAAAAAAAAAAAAAAAAAAAAAGAATCTCATCATGTTTAAATCCTTTGTGACTAGAGATACTCCCTTACGGAAAAGCGGTTCAGTAAAAGCCCAATATTTGTGGAAGAAATTACAAGTCATCTAGCTTTAGAACATGCTGCATTAAAGTCACTGGCAAAAATGAGTTTTTGGCCCTATAGCCAATTCAATGCATAGAAAAACCATGCCCAACACCCATTTGCTTCTCAAAATTAGATTTAAATTCTAGGTCTGCAATTAAGCAAAAGAAAAGCTGGCCAGCAGGCACAGTGGCTGATGCCTGTAATCTCTGCTACTCAAGAGGCTAAGGTGGGAGGACTGCTTACAACCAGGAGTTTGAGACCAGCCTAGGCAACAGAGTAAGACCCCCATCTCTAAAAAAATATTTCAGGCCAGCCTCGGTGGTTCACACCTGTAATCCCAGCACTCTGAAAGGCCAAGGTGGGAAGATCGCCTGAAGTCAGGAGTTCGAGACCAACCTGGCCAACCTGGTGAACCCTCATCTCTACTAAAATACAAAACTTAACCAGGTGTGGCTCCAGGGCACCTGTAATCCCAACTACTCAGGAGGCTGAGGCAGGAGAATCACTTGAACCCAGAGGCAGGGGTTGCCATGAGCTGAGATCATACCACTGTACTCCAGCCTGGGCAACAAGAATGAGACTCCATATCAAATTTTTTTTTTTTTTTTTTTTTGAGACGGAGTTTCGCTCTTGTTACCCAGGCTGGAGTGCAATGGCACGATCTCGGTTCACCGCAGCCTCCGCCTCCTGGGTTCCAGCAATTCTCCTGCCTCAGCCCCCTGAGTAGCTGGGATTACAGGCATATACCACCATGCCCAGCTAATTTTTTGTATTTTTAATAGAGACGGGGTTTCACCCTGTTGACCAGGATGGTCTCAATCTCTTGACCTCGTGATCCACCCGCCTTGGTCTCCCAAAGTGCTGGGATTACAGGCTTGAGCCACCACGCCCGGTCAAAAAAAAAAATTTTAATAGACAGTCTTTCATCTACCCTACTTCAATCACTTATTGACTCATTTACATTACTCGCCTAAGCTTTCAAGTGTAAATAATTGTAACAATCCAAAGTTAACTTCTGGAACCCCCAGTCATTTGCTATGTTCGAATGAATGAGACTACTGAATCCCAAGAGAGAAGTTTCAGAGTCTAAAGCAGCAAGAGGCGGTCACAGGGCTACAGAGTTAAGAGAAACAACTCGTCATCAACATTATTTCAACTTCTATGATTTCAATTATAGTACCCAATACTATGGATAACTATGTCTAAAATTGCTCATTTGTTTTTTCATGGGATAACCAAGCCCAATTACTTCCATTAAAATCTATTATAGTAAGCCAGTTTTTTTAAGTAAGATGATTAGAAGATTGGAAGTCTGTAGTTTCCCAGTGGTTTTCCATTGTACTGGGCTGGAGATTGTAGGGCACCAACTCTGTGAGGCCTTTGTCTTCCCACCTTACCAATTAGAAGTGCTTTCTATCAGGCTCCAGTTTGCTACTATGTGGCTAGTGAACAAGCCTATAACAAAATGCAGTGGCTCAAAATGCTATTAATAATCTAGGCTTCAGCACCTTAGAAAGCAAAGTAGTTGAGGTTTAAAAGGCTTTAGAATAAAACAAACCTTGAGCAACTCATATAACCACTGTAAGCCTACTTCTTCACATATAAAAATGAAGTGAGAGGCTGATGCGGAAGGATCCCTTGAGCCCAAGAGTTCAAAGCTATGATGAGCTATGATCACACCATGGCACTCTGGCCTGGGTGACAAAGAGAGATCCTGTCTCTAAAAAAAATAAAAATAGGGCTGGGTGCAGTAGCTCACGCCTGTAATCCTAGCACTTTGGAAGGCCGAGGCGGGCAGATCACGAGGTCAGGAGATCAAGACCATCCTGGGCAACAAGGTGAAACCCCATCTCTACTAAAAATACAAAAATTAGCTGGGTGTGGTGGCGCATGCCTGTAATCCCACCTATCGGGAGGCTGAGGCAGGAGAATCACTTGAACCCAGGAAGTGGAGGCTGCAGTGAGCCAAGATCACACCACTGCACTTCAGCCTGGGCAACAGAGCAAGACTCTGTCTTAAAAAAATAAAATAATAAAAAAATTAATTAAATAAAGAAATAAAAATAGGCTGGCTGCAGTGGCTCATACCTGTAATCCCAACATTTTGAGAGGCTGAGGTAGGCAGATCACTTGAGGTCAGGAGTTCAAGACCAGCCTGGCCAACATGGCAAAACCGCAACTCTACTAAAAATACAAAAATTAGTGAGGCCAGGCAAGGTGGCTCAAGGCCAGGCACGGTGGCTCATCCCTGTAATCCAAGCACTTTGGGAGGCCGAGGCAGACAGATCACCTGAAGTCAGGAGATAGAAAGGAGCCTGGCCAACATGGTAAAACGCTGTCTCCACTAAATACAAAAATTAGCCAGACGTGGTGGCAGGTACATGTAATCCCAGCTACTAGGGAGGCTGAGGCAAGAGAATCATTTGAATTTAGGAGGGAAAATTTGCAGTGAGCCAAGATCATGGCACTGCACTCCAGCTTAGGTGACAAGAGTGAAACACTGTCTCCAAAAAAAAAAAAATTAGTGGGGTATGGTGGTGGGCACTGATAATCCCAGTTGCTCGGGAGGCTGAGCAGGAGAATTGCTTGAACCTGGGAGACAGAGGCTGTAGTGAGTAGAGATCACACCATTGCACTCCAGCCTGGGCATCAGAGGGAGATTCCATCTCAATAAATTAAATAACTAAATTAAATTAAATTAAATTTGGCTGGGTGCAGTGGCTCACACCTGTGACCCTAGCACTTTGGGAGGCCAAAACAGGTGGATCACCTGAGGTCATGCATTCAAGACCAGCCTGACCAACATGGTGAAACCCCGTCTCTACTAAAAATACAAAAATTAGCCAGGCGTGGTGCTGCATGCCTGTAAATCCCAGCTACTTAGGAGACTTAGGCAGGAGAATGCCTTGAACCCAGGAGATGGAGGTTGCCATGAGCCAAGATCGTGCCATTGCCTAGGCAACAAGAGCGAAACTTAGTCTTAAAAAAAATAATAAATAAATAATAAAAATAAAATTTGAAATTAAAAAAAGAGTGAATAATATCTATTTGTCTAAAGGTTGTCATAAGGATTAAATGTGATCATATATAAAAGACCTTCCCAATGAGTCGCACAGGGCTCCACAGAGGTCATGCTGCAGGGCAGATGCCCCTAACAGTGGTAAGTTAAGGATACCAGGAGAAGGATCCTGTATGGCAGACACATCTGACAGCAATAACTTAAGCCTACCTGAGAATCACCCTATTATCTAAGAAGAATGTATGTTCAGATTTCCAAGCTACAGAATCTGGCTTGGATTCATTCCAACCCAAAGATTAATTCCTTTATCTATGAGCAATATCTGAATCCCCGGCCCATTTATGGAACCCACACCATACAGGGGACTGAGTCCCTTTGTTTTGGGTTAAATAAAGGTTACCAGGTGATGGCTGCCAGGGGCAGGGTGCTAAGTGGAAATGTTATATAAACTGAATCCTTTTTACAAGCAGTTGAAGTTTTGTCAAGCCCACCACCACTGCACTGGCCTTTATGTAAGTCCCCTTGATAAAATGCTGTGTCTCATTTCCTGGTGCTGGGTCTCTTCCCCAGCCTCTCTAACATAGTGCCATCCCTAACAAAGTCAACAGGTATGCGTCATGACACATGCCATCTTCATTAAACCCATACTGGCATGTTTCCAGTTAAAAGTACAGCTGGACTCAAAAGAGGTTTACATGGAAAATCTAAAATATTCACTATAGGTCAGGCACAGTGGTTCATGCTTGTAATCACAGCACTTTTGGAGACTGAGGCAGGCGGATCACTTGAGGTCAGGAGTTCAAAGACCAGCCTGGCCGACGTGGCAAAACCCTGTCTCTAACAAAAACACAAAAAATTAGCTGGGCGTGGTGGTACCTGCCTGTAGTCCCAGCTACTCGGGAGGCTGAAGCAAGAGAATCGCCTGAACCAGGGAGACAGAGGTTGCAGTGAGCTGAGATCGCATCACTGCATTCCAGCCTGGATGACAAAGCAGAAGCCCTGTCTTTAAAAAATAATATTTAAGGCCGGGCACGGTGGCTCAAGCCTGTAATCCCAGCACTTTGGGAGGCCGAGGCGGGTGGATCACGAGGTCGAGAGATCGAGACCATCCTGGTGAACATGGTGAAACCCCATCTCTACTAAAAATACAAAACATTAGCTGGGCATGGTGGCACGTGCCTGTAATCTCAGCACTCAGGAGGCTGAGGCAGGAGAATTGCTTGAACCCAGGAGGCGGAGGTTGCGGTGAGCCGAGATCGTGCCATTGCACTCCAGCCTGGGTAACAAGAGCGAAACTCCCATCTCAAAAAAAAATAATAATAATAGTAATAATAATAATATTTAAAAGGTAACATGGGATATGGTGGCTGGGCATAGTGTCTTATGCTAATACTTTGGGAGACCAAGGTCGGAGGATAACTTGAGTCAAAGGAGTTCAAGATCAGCCAGGGAAACATAGTAAGAACCCCACCCCTACAAGTAATTTAAAAAATCAGCTCTTCCTGCCATCTTGGCACTTACAGAGGCTAGAGAAGCGCCTGTTGCTGAAATTTGGAGGCCTGCTGGGAGCAGGACTTATAAAAGGAACTATGTCTGGAAGGCTGTGGTCCAAGGCTATTTTTGCCAGCTATAAGCGGGGTCTCCGGAACCAAAGGGAGCACACAGCTCTTCTTAAAATTGAAGGTGTTTATGCCTGAGATGAAACAGAATTCTATTTGGGCAAGAGATGTGCTTACGTATACAAAGCAAAGAAAAGCTGTACCCCTCAAGGATTTAGAACTAATGAAAAGTCAATAAATAAATGTGGATTTGTGCTCTTCTATTTCTGTTAAGTGGATTAAAAAACTTACTATGCTAAAAAAAAAAAAAAAAAAAAAAAATCAGGCAGTCTTGGTGGTGTGTGCCAGTCCCAGCTACTTGGGAGGCTGAGGTGGGAGGACTACTTTAGCCTGGGCAGTCGAGGCTGGAGTGAGCCGAGATCGTGCAACTGCACTTTAGCCTGGCAACAGAGCAAGGCCCTGTCTCCAAAATATAATAATTTTTTTTTTTTAAAAAAGGTGATGTGGTTTGGATCTGTATCCCTGTCAAGTCTCATGATGAAATGTAATCCTCAGTGTTGGAAGTGGGGCCTTGTGGCAGGTGTTTGGATCATGGGGGTGGATCCCTCATGATGGCTGCACACCATCTCCTCGATCAATGAGTGAGCTCACACAAGATCTGGTTGTTTAAACGTGTGTGGCACCTCACTTCCCAGCGTTTTTGCTCCCGCTTTCACCATGTAACATGCCTGCTCCCACTTCGGCTTCTGCCAAGAGTAAAAGGTCCCTGAGGCCTCCCCAGATGCCAGTGCCATGCTGGTACTGTCTGTAGAGCCATGAGCCAATAAAACCTCTTTTCTTTATAAATTACTCAGCCTCGGGTATTTCTTCACAGCAACGCAAGAATGGCCTAACACAAGAAGCAAAATCAGCTTATCAATACATGTAGAACCATGAAATTATTCTGTAATCAGTCCTTTGAAATTTTAGGACATAAAACGATGCTATTTTATCATTAGTGATCAAGCATTGCAATAAGTATAGAAGACCAAAGAGCCCACTTCCCACTAAGTTTTCTGGAAGTGTCTTCCCTTGACTCACTTATAGAGCAAGCTAGGGGCCCTCACAGTAGACCGGAATCCTTGCGGGGTCTGCTCCACCTCATAGGCATCACAGGGCTCATCAGCGCACTCCATGGAGCCTGCACAGAAACCATGACATGTCACTCAGAAAAAATGTTGCTCTGTGGACAACAGCTTTCACCTTAGCCGTCAACCACTGTTGGGGTTTTTAAATAGCAATACACAGGCATAAAGAACGGCCAGACACTGTACATTGCATGACACTGCTCTGATACTCCTTCTGACCTGCTCTTATAAGCAATAAACCATAAAAAACATATAATGACTATTTTAAATCTTTCAGTCTTGGAACCCTCGGAAGGTAGCATCTGCATACAGTAGCTCCCCCTCATCTATGGTTTCGTTTTGTGAGGTTTCAGTTACCTGCAGTTAACTGCTGTCCAAAACTATTACTACAATAAGATACTCAGCATGACACAGAGAGACCACATTTGCATTACTTTTATTACAATGTATTGTTATAATTGTTCTATTTTATTAGTTATTATTAATCTCTTACTGTGCCTAATTAATAAACTAAACTTTATCAAAGATTTCTATATAATGCTGGCCCTCCATATGCAAGGATTCTCCATCTGTGGATTTAACCAACTGCAGAATGAAAATATTTGAAAAAAAATCTAGCCTGGGCAACACAGTCAAACCTCTCATCTCTACAAAGATTAGCTGGGCATGGTGGCACATGCCCATAGTCCCCACTACTTAGGAGGCTGATGTGGGAGAATCGTTTGAGCCCGGGAGGTTCAGACTGCAGTGAACCAAGGTTATGCCACTGCACTCCAGAATGGGCCTGTCTCCTAAAAAAAAAAAAAAAATTATTTGGAAAAAAATAAGTAAAATAACAATACGGCAATAAAAATAATACAAATTAAAAAACAATACATACCGGGCATGGTGGGAAATGCCTGTAATCCCAGCACTTTGGGAGGCCGAGGTGGGCAGATCACCCAAGGTCAGGAGTTCGACAACACCCTGGCCAACATGGTGAAACACTGTCTCAACTAAAAATACAAAACTTAGGCCAGGTGTGGCGGCTCATGCCTATAATCCCAGCACTTTGGGAGGCCGAGGCAGGTAGATCACAAGATCAAGAGATTGAGACCATCGAGGCCAACATGGTGAAACCCCGTCTCTGCTAAAAATACAAAAATTAGCTGGGTGTGGTGGTGTGCACCTGTAGTCCCAGCTACTGGGGAGGCTGAGGCAGAAGAATTGCTTGAATCTGAGAGGCAAAGGTTGCAGTGAGCCGAGATTTCACCACCACACTCCAGCCTGGGTGACAGAGCAAGACTCCACCTCAAAAAAAAAAAAAAAAAAAAAGAAAATACAAAAATTAGCCAGGCGTGGTGATATGTGCCAGTAGACCCAGCTACTGGGGAGGCTGAGGCAGGAGAATTGTTTGAACCCAGGAAGCAGAGGTTGCAGTGAGCCGAGATCGCGCTGTTACACTCCAGCCTGGGCAACAAGAGCAAAACTCTATCTCAAAAAATAATAATAATAATAATAAATAAAATAAAAAATAAAAATACAGCATAACTATTTACAGAACACTCGCATTGTATTAGGTATATATGTATTATAAGAGAGGATTTAAAGTAGGATATGTGTAGGTTACATGCAAATAACATGCTGTTCTACAAAAGGGACATGAGCATCCAAGGATTTTGGTAACACTTTTGGGCACTGGACTAAACATATACGTTAATTTATTTCAAAAATTTATATATAATTACTTTAGGGCTGGGCACAGTGGCTCATGCCTGTAATCCCAGCACTTCGGGAGGCTGAGGCAGGTGGATCACTTGAGGTCAGGAGTTCAAGACCAGCCTGGCCAACAATGGTGAAACCATATCTCTATTAAAAATACAAAAATTAGCTGGGCATCATGGCATGTGCCCGTAGTCTCAGCTACTTGGGAGGCTGAGGCACCAGAATTGCGCTGGAACCTGGAGGAAGGGGTTGCAGTGAGCGGAGATCACCTAGGCACTCCAGCCTAGATGACAGAACAAGACTGTCTCAAAAAATAATAATTATTACGCCGGGCGCGGTGGCTCAAGCCTGTAATCCCAGCACTTTAGGAGGCCGAGGCGGGTGGATCACGAGGTCGAGAGATTGAGACCATCCTGGTCAACATGGTGAAACCCCGTCTCTACTAAAAATACAAAAAACTAGCTGGGCGTGGTGGCGCGTGCCTGTAATCCCAGCTACTCAGGAGGCTGAGGCAGGAGAATTGCCTGAGCCAAGGAGGTGGAGGTTGCGGTGAGCCGAGATCGCGCCATTGCACTCCATCCTGGGTGACAAGAGCGAAACTCCGTCTCAAAAAAAAATAATAATTATTATTATTATTACTTTACAGACTAAGGAACTTAATTTTGTAATAAAATATTAATGGTTCAGCCAGGCGCAGTGGCTCAAGCCTGTAATTCCAGCACTTTGGGAGGTCGAGGTGGATGTATCACGAGGTCAAGAGATCGAGATCATCCTGGTCAACATGGTGAAATCCCGGCTCTACTAAAAACACAAAAAATTAGCTGGGCGTGGTGGCACGTGCCTACAATCCCAGCTACTCAGGAGGCTGAGGCAGGAAAATTGCCTGAACCCAGGAGGCAGAGGTTGTGGTGAGCTGAGATCGCGCCATCGCACTCCAGCCTGGGTAACAAGAGCGAAACTCCATCTCAAAAAAAAAAAAAATTGATGGTTAATATTAATAACTAACTAAAATTACTCTTTATGATATTTAAGCCTCTGCACAAAAAAGAAACATAACATAAATTGCAACCAAAAACACTTCAGCTAAACTCAAACTCATCAGTACCCTTAGACGTGAACACAAATGGAGCTATATGAGGCCAAATATCCCAAATTTCAGTGCGGACACAGAAATACATTGAAACAAAACAAAGAATTGATCCTACAATATACAGGACATTTTACTTATCTGACCAAAGAGCAACTAGGATTACCTTGATAAAAGTCCTCTTCATCTTCTTCACGTTGATAGGTCTGTTCTTGGATTGGATTCTTCCTGTAATTCCGGCCATCAATTCTTATAAGCTGTGGACGCAGAACTTCCATGACACTTTCTCCAAATAATATTGCAGTGATGTCCTGAAAAATATAATTAACATCTTACCTTTCTTAGTGAGAATTAAAGTCCTTACTCTAGTGACTAGAGATAGCCCTATCTCTAGTGTATCACATAGGTCTGAATTGGGCATCAGTTCACAGTGTCTCTTACACAAAAAAGGCACTGTTTCCCATTGGATTTCCCATCTGTAAACTAGTTTATGTCAATTGCTGGATTTTTTACCACACTGGCTCACTCCAGACAGCAAAGTAATGTGTAAACTATTTATCACCCTCCAAAACAGAAATTAAAAGACATACATTCTAAAAAAAAAAAGAAAAGAAAAGAAAAAAAAAAAAGGAGGAAGGGAAGAAGAGAGGGAGGGCTGGCCAGGAGCAGTGGCTCACACCTATAATCCTAGCATTTTGGGAGGCCAAGGTGGGAGGACTGCTTGAGGATGGAAATCAAGACCAGCCTCTAAAAAAAGAAAAAGAGAAAAGGGCCAGGCATGGTGGCTCACTCCTATAATCCCAGCACTTTGGGAAGCCGAGGAAAGAGGACTGCCTGAGCTCAAGAGTTTGAAACCGGCCTGGGCACATGGCAAAACCCTGTCTCTCTTTAAAAAAAAGAAAGAAAAAAGGGCTGGGCATGGTGGCTCACACCTGTAATCCCAGCATTTTGGGAGGCTGAGGCAGGTGGATCACCTGAGGTCAGCCTGGCCAACATGGAGAAACCCCATCTCTACTAAAATACAAAAAATTAGCCAGGTGTGGTGGCACATGCCTGTAATCCCAGCTACTCAGGAGGCTGAGGCAGGAGAATTGCTTGAACCTGGGAGGCGGAGGTTGCGGTGAGCCGAGATCGCGCCACTGCATTCCAGCCTGGGCAACAACAGCGAAACTCCGTCTCAAAAAAAAAGAAGGAAAGAAAGAAAAAGAGAGATAAAAGAAAAAGGCATTATAAATGCCTATATATAAACACGGCCTGTTCATGACTTTGGAAGAGAGAATAAAGGTCTCTTTATTACTTCAACCTAGTGAGTAAAATGCAAACTTCAGTGGTTATCTAACCATGTGCACAATATCTCATTTTTTTTCTTCCCAGACAGTGTCTCATTCTTGTTGCCCAGGCTGGAGGGCAATGGCGAGACCTCTGCTCCCTGCAACCTCTGGCTCCCAGGTTCAAGAGATTCTCCTGCCTCAGCCTTCCCAGTAATTGGAATTACAGGTGCCCACCACCACACCCAGCTAATTTTTTGTAGTTTTAGTAGAGAAGCAGTTTCATCATGTTGGCCAGGCTAGTCTTGAACTCCTGACTTCAGGTGATCCACCTGCCTTGGCCCCTCCAAAGTGCTGGGATTACAGACGTGAGCCACCACGTTGGGCACACTCTATCTAGCAAGACGATTAAGACAATGAGGGGAGCTGGGCACAGTGGCTCACACCTGTAATCCTAGCACTTTGGGAGGCTGAGGTGGGTGGATCACCTGAGGTCAGGAGTTCAAGACCAGCCTGGCCATCATGGTGAAACCCCATCTTTTAAAAAAAAAGACAATGAGGAATATTTAATAAATTTAACCACCCAGAAAAAAAAATACCCCTAAGTACTTTTAGAGATGCTAGACATTCATAGCAATCAGCTCCAGTTGCCTGTCAATGCACAGTTAAAATAACAACTTAACCAATATGGTTCTCAGACCAACATATTGCCGATGGATGGAATCCAATTTCTACAGGCCACTGCCCAACAAAATGCACATCACTCACTGAAAAACCAAGCTTCTGGTCACACCACTTAATGAATCAATAATTTAGGGAAAAAAAGGTTCTTATAGGCTAGCTGAGGTTAAACTGAACCAATATTCCTACCACGTACAGCTTGAAGCCCAAATGGTCTTGAAGCCCAAAATACTGAAGAGTTCCAAAGAAAACAAGTCGATCCTTAATAAATAAACTAATGTTCAGTCCAACCCTCAGCAAGCAAGTCACTTTAATGGATGGTTTGGGCCGGGTGCGGTGGCTCACATCTGTAATCCCAGCACTTTGGGAGGCCGAGGCGGGCAGATCACCTGAGGTCAGGAGTTCGAGACCAGTCTTGCAAACATGGTGAAACTCCGTTGCTACTAAAAATACAAAAAGCAGTCGGGCGCGGTGGCGGGCGCCTGTAATCCCAACTACTCGGTAGCCTGAGAGGTGGAAGTTGCAGTGAGCCCTGCCAGTCCACTCTAGCCTGGGCGACAGAGCAAGGCTCCCTCTCCAAAAAATAAATAAATAAAATGTTTAAAAACAGCAATAATTGATGGTTTGTGTGCTTACAGAACCAAGAAGAGGTTTCGTGAAAAATAACACAAGGTAAACCGACGGGGATGGAGGAAAAGGGCACATCATTAGCAAGAGTCGATGACATCACACCCGAGTGGCCTATTCCCCTAGGCCTCTAAAATTCTCAACAAAAAAAAACTTTCACGGGGAAAGCTGAAAAAAAAAAAGTTCCCCACAAAAACAGACTAAGGTGAAGGTCGAGACCTCAGACCACAAGTTCCGGAAGAACAGGTAGTTGTCCGGGAGACGGTAAAAGCAGCATCTACCTGCACTGCACGGCCCTGCGCTACGAGACTGCTCTGAAGGAAAGAGGGGAATAACCAACTTAACCCTGCTTCCTCCAAACCCAGGTGGTTTGGAGAGGAAGAGGAAAGCTGTGTCTTTCTGCAATACAGTGAGGGAAGCCGAGGCCCCGAATCATCAAAGAGAAGGAGAAAAGTACTAGAGGGCTACAGGGAAACCGAGACAGGGCGAGAAGGCGAAGGAGCCGGAAGTCCTTACCCGGAGCGCGTTCCCTACACCCCTACTCGCGCCTCCGCCCTGGCCACGCCCACCACGGCACGGACGCGCGCACGCCGCCGGCTCCCACTGTAAGGGCGTGAGCACGCCGCCGTCCTCGTCGTGGTGTGCGCGGCAGCTCCGGCCGACCCTGGGGGCGGGGCTGTAGGGGAAAGTGCTAAAGCCGCTGAGGTAAGAAGCCGAGGGCCCAAGGGCCCTCGGGAGCTTGGTGAAAAGGGAGTTAACCCCTAGAATCCTACCTGCAGGGACTAGGAAAATGGAGAAGGTAGGTGGAGAAACAGGAGACTGATGTAGCAGACGTGCGAAAGGAAATTTCCCCAGGCCGGGTTGGACTGACTGCGCATGCGGGCCGAGGGGTGGAGCCTGCGCAGTGGGACAGCGCCGATGGCGTCGTTTCCTGGGGACCCAGCTGGGTGGGTGGCGTGGCTAGGAAATAGCTTGGGAACCGCTGGTGTTCTGACCGCACCCTCTCCAGCCCTTTCCTCTCCACGCCCCACCCCCAAGTTATAGCTGCGGCTTCTATTTGGTTTGGGTTGTAATCCAGCTGTTTTTTAAACGATTTGTTGATGGAATTTAATAATTGCTTGTAATTTGTCTTTGTACTAGGGTAGGAAATTTTAAGGAATTAGTCTTTTTTTTTTTTTTTTTTTTTGAGACGGAGTTTCGCTCTTGTTACCCAGGCTGGAGTGCAATGGTGCGATCTCGGCTCACCGCAACCTCCGCCTCCTGGGTTCAGGCAATTCTCCTGCCCCAGCCTCCTGAGTAGCTGGGATTACAGGCAGGCGCCACCATGCCCAGCTAGTTTTTTGTATTTTTAGTAGAGACGGGGTTTCACCGTGTTGACCAGCATGGTCTCGATCTGTTGACCTCGTGATCCACCCGCCTCGGCCTCCCAAAGTGCTGGGATTACAGGCTTGAGCCACCGCGCCCGGCCTAAGGAATTATTCTTTTAAGAAAATAGGCATATATCTGTTAGAAAGGAAAGGAATTTATGAATGCGAGCTCATCCCTGCCTTACATGAAGTAAATGTTTAAGCATCTTAGCTCGGACACAGCAATCTGTGTCCAGAAAGCATCATTGCTCTCCACTGCCAGCCCCAACCTCCCTGACAGGGCCAAGTCCCAGGATACTTCATCATCAGTATTTACTCAACAAAATTTTACTAAGCACCTCCGGTGAGCCTGGCAAACTAGTTGAAGATAGAATTGTGCGATACATCTGCCCAATGAGGAAAAAAAAAAAAAAACTTAATGTACCAGTACTCATGACACCGCGCTTCTCTATCGTCTGCTTGACCTTTGCTGAGCTGCTCGCCCTGCGTTGTCATTTGTTCATCATTCATTCATTTGAAATACTCGGGACTGGAAGCACAGTGGAAACACTGCAACCCAGGTTCTCTGCTCGGCATTAAGGGTAGAAAGACTTCGAAGGTAGCAGGATATTTCTTAAGATCATGAACCTTAAAATGAAAGTGTAAAGTGCCTAGTAGAAGGCATTGGCCTTCCTCCTGATCAGATTCTTTCCCCTCTGGGAGCTTGCTGACTCTGTTAGTTGGAGAGAATTAAAACTTTTTCCATGAAGTTTTTTTCATAGTTTTAAGTATGAAAAACTGGGATCTGCATAGGAAAAACTCAGGAGTAACTCTCTGTTAATTATTTGAATAGCTAAGATTTATGAAGTGTTTACTAAGCCTGTAACTGTTCCAAGTATTTTACGTGTATTAACTAATCTTTGTCACACCTGTGTGAGGTAGCTGCCACTATTACAGGTTGAGTATCCCTAATCCAGAAATCCAAAATGCTCCAAAATTTAAAACTTCTTGAGCACTGAGGGGATGGTCAAAGGAAATGCTACTTGGAGCATTTTGAATTTCAGATTTTCGGATTTGGGAAGCTTAATCATTAAGTATAATGCAAATATCCCAAAACCGGAAAGAAATCCAAAATACTTCCAGTCCCAAGCATTTCAACCTGTTTCTCATATTGCAGATAAGACAACCAAGGAACAAAAATATTAAATATGCTGGAGGTTGCAGTTTTTTTAATTTTTGCCATCAGACCTTGGCGATGACCTTGAGCAGTAGGATATAAATTACTCCCACATGGTTAGCGTTCCAGTAATGGAACACTAGGCATAAATGGGTTAAATTATTTGTCCACAGTCATGCAGCAAGTAAGTAGCAAAACCAGAAGTCAGGCAGAGAGGCTTCATAGTCTTACTGGCTATGCTGCTTTACCTTGCACATGACAAATGACATGCCAACAAGCCATTGTTTCAAAATGTCACAGCAGATAAGCTAAAATTGTCTTTATACCTCAGTTTTATTTTTTCATGTATAAAATGAGGAAGTTGGATTAGATGACCTTTAAGGAATCTGTGGTTCCTGTGAAATACTCAATTCATTCAGCAAGCATTTACTGAAATGAACAGCTACTTCCTCACTATAGGCCAGGTGTTAGGTTTGGTTCTGGTGATCACTTAGTGCCTGACTTGAGAGCAGTTAACAATCTCTAGGGTGTATTAGTTTTGCTTTACTCTCATTTACCACTCGCTGGTAGCATTCAAAATTTAACCTATCTCTTTAGAGCTAGAAAATGCTGCGATATATCCTTGCACCTCAGCAGAAAACTACTTAAAGTTAGCTTTGTGCTAATTCTGTGCTCCAGTTTTTAATCCTGGCTGTTTTGTGTATGGAATGATAGTAGTTCTGAGAGTTGGAAAGAAAACAGGATGAAAGGGAATTCCTTTGATTATATTCAGCTTAGAAGTCACACTGTGGCTAACATTATTTGAAGCTGTCCTCACTCTGGCTGTTGCTTGGGTGCTCCGCTAAGCAACTGACTTCAAAATATGAAGTATAAAGCATTTGCAATGAATAGAGCATTTATCCGGGTGTAGGAAAAATAGAGTTTTAAATCTTAGGTGAGATATATAAAGAGTTCACAGTGGGTTCTACTCTGAAGTGATGGGAAATAAAAACTGAGCTACTCTCCAACAGGTGGCTAAGTTGTCTGTATACTTTATTTGAATCCCACCAGGAATTCACTTAAAGATTTGGGCCTGATTCACTACTGCTTAAGTTCAAAAACAATTCAAAAACTTGTCAGGCTATATTTTGACTCACTGTAGTCCAGAAGATTGGATATGAATCTGACTCCAGAAATTGTTGCCTCTCTGGACATGAGTACAATTTGGAAAGTTAGCAGAGCTCAGAGAAAAAAGGAAACGTGATCTAATAACAAGATTGAAAATGTCTGCTGAACAGAGTGGCTCAGGCCTGTAATCCCAGCATTTAGGGAGGCTGAGGCAGAGGATTGCTTGAACCCAGGAATTGGAGACCAGCCTGAGGAACGTAGTGAAACTTCATTTCTACAAAAAATAAAATTAGTGAGGTGTGGTGGCACACACCCTGTAGTCCCAGCTATTTGGGAGGCTGAGGTAAGAGAATAATTTGCACTCAGGAGGTCAAGGCTGCAGTTAGCTAAGATCATGCAACTGCATTCCAGTCTGGGAAACATAGCAAGACTCTGTCTTCAAAAAAAGAAAAAAGAAAATGTCATTAATCAATTTGCATTTTTGCTGACAGCCTAGTTATAGTAGTTGCTTTACCGTTCCCATATCCCACTTCACTGTTCCCATATCCCACTTCACTATTAATCAGTGTTACTTGTAATGAAATCAGAAACCAAGCTCTGCTTCTCTAACAGCCTTAAATCATCATCACAAAATTAAGGAAACAGAACAGCCAATGTTTCAAGACATACTGTATCATTTTCATTACTAGAAAACTGGATTATATATATATATTTATATTTTATTCCCTCACTTTTTTCTGTTTTCGAAAAACATGGCCAGGTGCAGTGGCTCATGCCTATAATTCCAGCACTTTGGGAGGCCGAGGTAGACAGATCACCTGAGGTTGGGAGTTCAAGACCAGCCTGGCCAACAAAGAGAAACCCCATCTCTACTAAAAATACAAAATTAGCCAGACGTGGTGGTGCGTACCTGTAATCCCAACTACTCGGGAGGCTGAGGCAGGAGAATCACTTGAACCCGGAAGGCAGAGGTTGCAGTGAGCTAACATGGCGCCATTGCACTCCAGCCTGGGCAACAAAAGTGAAACTCCGTCAAAAAAAAAAAAAAAGAAAAGTTTCAGACAGGCATGGTAGCTCACACCTATAATCCCAATACTTTGGGTGGCCGAGATGGGAGGATTGCTTGAGCCCAGGAGTTCCAGACAAACCTGGGGACAACATGGTAAGAAGTTGTCTCTACCAAAAGTAAAAAAAAAAAAAAAATTTACTGGGCATAGTGGCATGCACCTGTGGTCCCAGCTACTTGGGAGGTTGAGAGGTTGGAGTATTGCTTGAGCCTAGGAGGTTGAGGCTGCAATGAGCCATGATCAGGCCACTGAACTTCAGCCTGGGTGACAGAGTGAGAGCCTCCCTAGAAAAAATAAATACATTTCAACTTTTTATAATAAATATGTTCATGTTCCAACTAACAAAACAAAAAAAGTGCGAATGAAAAATATTCAGGCTGGTCTGGGTGCAGTGGTGTTTACACTAATTGATCACAACCCGCTACAGATTTCTTTGTTCCTTTTTCACTCCCACTGCTTCACTTGACTAGCCAAAAAAAAAAAAGCTCAGCTAAAATTCTCTCTGACCATTTCAGAGGGAAATTCATCTTACAGTCCCCTTTTTTGGCACAATCTCAGCTCACTGCAACCTCCACCTTCCAGGTTCAAGTGATTCTTCTGCCTTAGCCCCCTGAGTAGCTGTGATTACAGGTGTCTGCCACCAAACCCAGCTAATTTTTGTATTTTTAGTAGAGATGGAGTTTCTCCATGTTGGCCAGGCTGGTCTCTAACTCCTGATCTCAGGTGATCCGCCCATCCCGGCTTCCCAAAATGCTAGGATTACAGGCCTGAGCCACCATGTCCGGCCTACAATCTTTTTTGAAATCCATTTTTTAAGTGGGCTAAAATTCACATAACATAAAATTAAGTATTAGCCATCTTAAAGTATACAATTCAATATAAAGTTATTTTTAATATAAATACTAGAACTTTATCCATTACAGCAGCCAGTAGCCACATGTGGTTACTTAAATTTCAATTAACATTAAATAAAATTTAAAATACAGAAATACACTTCCTCAGTCACACCAGCTTAATAGGTGCAACATGAAGCTAGTGGCTACCATGTTGTGCAGCGCAGAAATAGAACACTGAAATATTTCCATCATGGCAGAAAGTTCCATTAGACAGCATGGCACTAGACCATTTTTTTCTTTTTTTAAATGGAGTCTGGCTCTGTCGTCCAGGCTAGAGTGCAGTGGAGTGATCTCACCTCACTGCAGCCTCCACTTCTTGGGTTCATGTGATTTTCCTGCCTCAGTTTCCTGAGTAGCTGGGATTGCAGGCACCTGCCACCATACCCAGCTAATTTTTGTATTTTTGTATTTTTAGTAGAGACAGGGTTTCACCATGTTGGCCAGGCTGGTCTTGAACCTCCCAATCTCAGGTGACTGTCTGCCTCAGCCTCCCAAAGTGCTGGAATTACAGGTGTGAGCCACAGCACCCAGCCATTTTTTCTTTAAAATATACTATATACACTTTTTTTTTTTTTTTTAAGATGAAGTTTCACTCTTGTTGCCCAGGCTGGAGTGCAGTGGCACAATCGCTGCTCACCGCAACCTCTGCGTTCGAGGTTCAAGGGATTCTCCTGCCTCAACCTCCTGAGTAGCTGGGATTACAGACATGTGCCACCACACCCAGCTAATTTTTGTATTTTTAGTGGAGATAGGGTTTCCCTATGTTGGTCAGGCTGGTCTCGAACTCCTGATCCCAGGTGATCTATATACACACCCGGCCACTATGTACACTTTTTTGAGGGCTCAGCACAGTGAGACTTTGGGAGGCCAAGGTGGAAGGATCACTTGAGACCAGAAGTTAAAGACCAAACTAGGCAACATAGCAAGACCTCGTCTCTATTTAAAAAAAGAAAGGAAAGGGACTGGGCACAGTGGCTTATGCCTGTAATCCCAGCACTTTGGGAGACCAGGGTGGGCGGAGGACCTGAAGTCAGGTGTTAGAGACCAGCCTGGCCAACATGGTGAAACGTGTGTCTACTAAAAATAACAAACATTAGCTGGATGTGGTGGCTCCTTCCTGTAATTCCAGCTACTCAGGAGGCTGAGGCAGGAGAATCACTTGAACCCGGGGGCAGAGGTTGCAGTGAGCCAAGATCATGCCACTGCACTCCAGTGTGGACAACAAGAGCAAGACCCCGTCTCAAAAAACAAAAAAGGGAAAGAAAATACCGTAAACACTTTTTAGAATCTTTTGTTAAAGTCGTATAAGCTTCTGTGGTAAAGGGAGTGTTTTGTTTTGAACTTTTGTAAGGTGTCATGTATTCAGTACAGTTTTCTTGTTAACATTTGAATTTTTTATGTGAAATATGATTAAATACAGCTGCTCTGTTCATAATAGATTATGATTTCCAAGATTATTTTCTGAACTTTTTTTTGTTCCAGTTTTGGGACGCCACCAAGTGATAAATTTGGGTATTACATTTTGACGAAAAGGTTAATTTTTTTTTTTTTTTCTTTTTTTAAGATGGAGTCCCTCTCTGTCACCTAGGCTGGAGTGCAGTGGCACAATGTCGGCTCACTGCAACCTCTGCCTCCAGGGTTCTAGCCGTTCTCTTGCCTCAGCCTCCCAAGTAGCTGGGATTACAGGTGCCTGCCACCACGGCCAGCTAATTTTTTGTGTGTGTTTTTAGTAAGAGACAGAGTTTTGCCATGTTGGCCAGGGTGGTTTCGAACCCCTGACCTCAGGTGATCTATCCACCTCTGCCTCCCAAAGTGTGAGATTACAGGCGTGAGCCACTGCGCCTGGCCAAAAGGTTAATTTTTAATGAGAAGGCCAATATATATTTCCTAACTAGTTCCCCTTCCTTGGGAACAGAACACAGTGTTATTCTGAAATTTTATTTGGAAAATATTATAAGTGAATTTCTTGATGTGGCTTGATCAGGATGTTTCCAAAACAAACTGTCCTGTGAAGTGTGGTGGTTTTATCCTCATATAACTTATTTACTCAGTCAAATTTCTGCCTTAGTGCTGCCGTATCACCCCTTCATAACTCATAAATCACCCACGGCCGATCTCAGTTGACATAAACTGTTTACTAATGGTAGCAATTTGTGTTTTAAGTGTACATACTATTCTTAAGCATATTTTCAGTTCAAAACCTGACTGACATTTTGGCCTGAGAAATCAATAAAAGATTGTGAAAGTAGAGAGGGTAGAAAAAAGGGGAGCTAACTCTTCACAAAACTGTATGCTGGCCCTTATGGCAGCTAAAATGAAATGTTGTCACTCTCACTTCCATAAACTTACCAACTGCTGTTTTTCTTTCTCTGTAGTGAAGAATTCTACTAGAGAGAAAATGGCTGCTTCATCATCATCCTCCTCAGCTGGTGGGGTCAGTGGAAGTTCTGTCACTGGATCTGGTTTCAGTGTCTCAGACCTTGCCCCACCACGGAAAGCCCTTTTCACCTACCCCAAAGGAGCTGGAGAAATGTTAGAAGGTGATCTCATGCTGCTTTCCGAATAATTGGATTCAGACCTGCAATGAATATTAATTGCAAAGAAGCTATTAAGTGGATTAAAGATGAGTTTGTCCTGATTTCAGCCCCACGTTTTATCTCTTGTCCCCATCTCAAAATATCTTTAAAAACAAATCTTGCTCTGGAATCAGAATTTTTTAGCTGAAAAGGACTTGGAAATCAAGGAAGTCATCTAGAGTTATTTAGATCCAGAAAAGTTAAGTGATTTGACCATGTTAAAGGCAGATTCAGGGCTGGGCACGGTAGCTTATTCATGTTAATCTCAGCACTTTGGGAGGCCGAGGCAGACAGATCATTTGAGGCGAGTAGTTGAAGACCAGCCTGGCCAACAAGGTAAAACCCCATCTCTACTGAAAATATAAAAATTAGCTGGGCTTGGTAGAGCGTGCCTGTACTCCCAGCTACCAGGGAGGCTGAGGCAGGAAAATGGCTTGAATCTGGGAGGTAGAAGTTGCCATGTGCCGAGATCATGCCACTGCACTCCAGCCTGGATGACAGGGTGAGACTCCGTCTCAGAAAAAAAGCAGAGTCAGTACTGAAACCAGGAATTCTCTTGACCTCCTACTCGAGTTTGCTTTATCCTGGCACCTGTCTACCTCCTCATGGTAGTAGGTTTGATGTATATTTTTCTAGTGGGACTGATCTACAGATAGATTCATCCTGTCAGAAAGGTTCTAAGAGGAAATAGAAGCTAATATATTGCCCTTTTGTGTGAACATGACTCCTGGCCCACCGCAGGATGATGCTGTGTGGTTTTCTAGCACCAGAGCCAGATTTACATCAAATCTTTAACTATCTTATTCAGCACCACTGGCTGACTGGCTGGCCAAGATCAGGATACAGGCTGTAAGCGTGTTACTTGAAGAGCTACACAAATAATTCTTAACAGGGAGCATAAAAATCATCCAAAGAGCTTATTTAAAATGCACATTTCTGTCCGGGTATGGTGGCTCACACCTGTAATCCCAGCACTTTGGGAGACCAAGATGGGTGGATCACCTGGGGTCAGGAGTTTGAGACCAGCCTGGCAAACATGGTTAAATCCTGTCTCTACTGAAAATACAAAAATTAGCCAGGCATGGTGGCAGGTGCCTGTAATCCCAGTGACTCAGGAGGCTGAGGCAGGAGAATCACTTGAACTTGGGAGGCGGAGGTTGCAGTGAGCCGAGATCCCACCACTGCATGCCATCCTAGGGGACAGAGTGAGATTCCTTCTCAAAAATAAAAATAAAATGCATATTTCTGGGCCCACCTTAGTGTTTCTGAATTACTCTACGGTGTAGCTCAAGAAAACATCTTTTACCAGCATCCAGGGCCTTCTCTTGAAGGCAGTCTTCCATATTTTAAAAAACATTGGGACCAGGTGGTGGCTTAAACGTGTAATTTCAGCACTTTGGGAAGCCAAGGCATGAGAACTGTTTGAGACCAAGAGTTCAAGGCTACAATGAGCTATGATCATGCCATTGCACTCCAGCCTGGGGTGACAGAATGAAACTGTGTCTCAAAAAATAATAAATTTTTTAAAAGCATTGGGAGGCTGGGCACACTGGCTGACGGCTGTAATCCCAGATCACGAGCGAGGTCAAGAGATCAAGACCATCCTGGTCAACATGGTGAAAACCTGCCTCTACTAAAAATACACAAAAATTGGCAGGGTGTGGTGGTACGTGCCTGTAGTCCCAACTACTCGGGAGGCTGAAGCAGAAGAATTGCTTAAAACCGGGAGGCAGAGGTTGCAGTGAGCTGAGATTGTGCCACTACACTCCAGCCTGGCGAGAGAGCAGGACTCCATCTCAAAAAAATAAAAAGCATTGGAAAAGAATCTATTAATGATTCCAAATTTAATTGATTCTAGCATTTTAGTGCTTAATTATATGTTGATCTTTTTTAAGTATTGCAATTTTTTTTTTTTTTTTTTTTTGAGACAGAGTCTCACTCTGTCGCCCAGGCTGGAATGCAGTGGTGCGATCTCAGCTCACTGCAACCTCTGCCTCCCAGGTTCAAGCAATTCTCCTGCCTCAGCCTCCTGAGTAGCTGGGATCACAGGCGCCCGCCACCACATCCAGCTAATTTTTGTGTAATTTTAGAAGAGACAGGATTTCTCCATGTAGCCCAGGCTGGTCTCGAACTCCTGATCTCAAGTGGTCTGCCTGCCTCAGCCTCCCAAAGTGCTATGATTACAGGCATCAGCCATCGTGCCTGGCTTTAATATTGCAAAATTTATACAAGTATATTTTAAAACTAGGAATATCTGTGAGAAAGATACAAACTATAGGCCAGACAGTGATTCACACCTGTAATCCCAGTACTTTGGGAGGCTGAGGCAGGCAGGCTGCTTGAACCCAGAAGTTTGAAACGAAATCCTGTCTCTAGAAAAAAAATGCGAAAATCAGCTGGGTGTGGTGGCATGTGTCTGTAGTCCCAGCTACTTAGGAAGATGGGGTGGGAGGTTCACCTGAGATTGGGAGGCGGAGGTGCAGTGAGCTGTGATCGCATCACTGCACTCCAGCCTCGTCTCAAAAAAAAAAAAAAGATACAAACTATAGTTGGCCTTGGGGGTGATGAATAATCAGAAATAATAAAAAGAGTTTTGAATTAAGCCAGTAGATGACCAGGTAGTATATGTAATTAGTGATACATATACTTCTCTTTGCCTTTTTATTTTAATTGTGTTACCTAAATACTCAAGTTATTTTAATTGTGTTACCTAAATACTCAAGTATCACTGAGTCTGGTTGGAAGTAGTGAACAACTGGGGCCCTGTTTACCGTATTTGGTGCTAAAACTGTATTACGACTTCTTTTATATGCAGCAGAGACCTAGTATTAAGAAAGTTTCCAACAAAATAAAAGTGGAAGACACTTAAATTGCTTAATGAGTTTTATAGCAGCAGCAGAATCAGTATTCAATAATGGAGCTCTAAAATTAAAGTCATTTAAGTTCTAGCTATAAGAGGAATTTAATACAGGAGGCACCTCCACAGTCTGAAAGCTGTCAGCATTCTTTGTCAGTATACACCAAATTATGGGGAGATATTGAAGACGAAAGGCTTCTGAGATTAGTCTGAATGATATTCTAATGAGTTATAGATCTATCCATTTTTATTCCATCTCAATATGCTTCATGCATGGAGAAATGTGTTGGGTCTCTGTTGTAGGATACATTTATATTAAGTGTAAATACACAGTGCACAGTGTTGATTCTGTTTCTTAGATTTCAAGTTTTACCAATAATCTTAAAGCTGCTTAAACTTAAAGACTGTGAAACATAATGTAGAGAAGCCCCTTTAATATTCTTAGTCAAATCAAGAATATTAAATTGAAAAGAGTACTCTTAAATGTGCATGAAGATACTGGATTTGCTACCATGTTTATAGGTGATACTATTCTATTATACAATTAATCTAACACACATGTACCTGACCAATAATAGTTTAATAGAATATGAAAATAGAGCAGGAAAGGTTACCTGTCAAGAGTAAGGAACAAAAGCAGTTAGAAATCTAGGATGGATACTGGGTTTGTTGGGTTTTTTGTTTGTTTGTTTGTTTGTTTTGAGATGGAGTCTCATTCTGCTGCCCAGGCTGGAGTACAATGGTGCAGTCTTGGCTCACTGCAACCTCTGCTGCCCAGGTTCAAGTGATTCTCCTGCCTCAGCCTCCCAAGCAGTTGGGATTATAGGTGCCTGCCGCCACACTGAGCTAATTTTTATAGTTTTAGTAGAGACGGGGTTTCACCATGTTGGCCACGCTGACCTCAAACTCCTGACCTCCTGATCCACCTGCCTCAGACTCCTAAAGTGCTGGGATTATAGGCATGAGCCACTGTGCCTGGCCGGATGCTGCTTTTAATCTCAGCAGGTTCAACTTGATGTTATATCTCATGAGTCTAGGATAGTAAACCAAATCACCTGTAGTTAACCTTGTGCATTAACTTTTCTGTGCATCTGCTCTCTGATAACCAACATCTCACATAAGCAGTACACAGCAGTTTTCAGCATTCTCCTGCCCTTGGCCAAAATTGTCTTCACCCAGTTATTAGTGAGCAAATTAGAGACTGCGCTCCAGCCCACTAGTGGCCATATTTTTGTGACATTGTAAGCCACTGAAGTATAAATTATCTGCATTGTCTAATTTCCTACTGTGAGGTAATTTTTTTTAAATGTATTTGTTACTATCTTTATTTATTGGAGTTGGCAATTGTGTTAGATTTGGGCAATTTACTGAACTTTTCCCTGTTTATAACCTTTGCTTGTCCCTTAAGACAGGTGTCCCCAAACTACAGCCACAGGCCGCATGCGGCCCCCTGAGGCCATTTATCCGGCCCCCTGCTGCACTTCAGGAAGGGGCACCTCTTTCATTGGTGGTCAGTGAGAGGAGCACAGTATGTGGCGGCCCTCCAACAGTCTGAGGGACAGTGAACTGGCCCCCTGTGTAAAAAGTTTGGGGACACCTGCCTTAAGAGGAAAGCTGATGTATTGCTACTTGCAATGGAAGAGATTGTCCCCAGCTGACTCCACTATGGAGAAATTCCAGGCTTTAGACTGGTACTGATATCACATCTAATAGGATGTGGCTAAGAAGCAACTGGACTTTGTGATTAATAGGGAGCTGCAAATCAGCAGAAGTGTGTCCCGCAGGCATATAGTGTGGTGGGGTGACATGCAGAGGTGCCTTTTTGAAAGTTTAGCTTATATCCTTCTGCTTTGAAGTTCATTACCAAGGAAAAGATGCCAATATCACAACTTAACCATTTTATCCTAATGGTGCCTGTGATGAAATGTAAATGAAAGGTGACACTTCCAAGAGCTTCCATATACATCTTGGCCTGATCCTTATAGCCCATAATCCCACTGCCTTGTGTGCAGTCCTAAACTTCAGGATTAAACCACCTGGGAGGTAAACTCTAATTGTCTATGCTTTGCTCTTTCTAAAATAAAATAGGAGTTTTTTTTTTTTTTTGAGACAGAGTCTCAATGTGTCATTAGGCTGGAGTGCAGTGGCGCAATCTTGGCTCACTGCAACCTCTGCCTCCAGAATTCTAGCAATTCTCCTACCTCAGCCTCCGGAGTAGCCTGAGATTACAGGCAGGTGCCGCCACGCCTGACTAATTTCCATATTTGTGGTAGAGACAGGGTTTTACCATGCTGGACAGGATGGTCTCCATCTCTTGACCTTCTGATCTGCCCCGCTTGGCCTCCCAAGGTGCTGGGATTACAGACATGAGCCACTGCACACGGCCTAATTGGATTTTTTAAGCAAGAGTATGAACAAGATAGGAAATGTTGACATATCATTTACACAGAAGACCTGGTGTCAGCTGTTCTCAACAGTCTCTCTTCCTGTCATGGAATTTATAGTTATTTGCTGTTCATTGTTTTATCTAAAAAAAAACTCCGTGATATATTACCTTGTCTAAATCTTTAAACTGAATAGTCAGTGTAATTAAGTGTTGTTTTTGTTTGGTTGGTTGGTTGTTTTTTTTGAGATGGCGTCTCAGGCTGGAGTGCAGTGGCACCATCTCAGCTCACTGTAGTCTCCACCTTCCAAGTTCAAGTGTTTCTCCCATCTTAGCCTCCCAGGTAGCTGGGACTACAGGCATGCTTCACCACACCCAGCTAATTTTTGTATTTTAGTAGAGATGGGGTTTTGCCATATTACCCACGCTGGTCTTGAACTCCCAAGCTCAGGCAGTCTACCTACCTCGGCCTCTCAAAGTGCTAGGATTGCAGGCATGAGCCACCGCACCCAGCTATTTGGTTAATTTAAAATGAAAATACTCAGTTTGATGATCAGCAGCTCACAAATGACTTATATTCAGCCAGAGAAATGGGAGCTCGTGGATAGGATGGGATCATATCCCATTATGAGGTTTGAAGGCCCGGCATGGTGGCTCTCTCCTGTAATCCCAGCACTGTGGGAGGCCAAGACAGGCAGATCACCTGAAGTCAGGAGTTTGAGACCAGCCTGGACAACATGGTAAAACCCTATCTCTACTAAAAATATAAAAATTAGCCAAGTGTGGTGGTAGGCACCTGTAGTCCCAGCTACTTGGCAGGCTAATGCAGGGAGAATTGCTTGAACCCAGAAGGTTGAGGTTGCAGTGAGCCAAGATTGTGCCACTGCACTCCAGCCTAGGCAACAGAGTGAGACTCCATCTCAAAAAAATAAAAATAGGGCCGGGCGCGGTGGCTCACGCCTGTAATCCCAGCACTTTGGGAGGCCGAGGCGGGTGGATCACGAGGTCGAGAGATCGAGACCATCATGGCCAACAAGGTGAAACCCCGTCTCTAATAAATATACAAAAATTAGCTGGGCATGGTGGCGCGCGCCTGTAGTCCCAGCTACTCAGGAGGCTGACGCAGGAGAATTGCTTGAATCCAGGAGGCGGAGGTTGCGGTGAGCCGAGATCGTGCCACTGAACTCCAGCCTGGGTAACAAGAGCGAAACTCAGTCTCAAAAAAAAAAATAAAATAAAATTAAAATAAAAATAAAAATGCCGGGCGCGGTGGCTCAAGCCTGTAATCCCAGCACTTTGGGAGGCCGAGGCGGGTGGATCACGAGGTCGAGAGATCGAGACCATCCTGGTCAACATGGTGAAACCCCGTCTCTACTAAAAATACAAAAAATTAGCTGGGCATGGTGGCGTGTGCCTGTAATCCCAGCTACTCAGGAGGCTGAGGCAGGAGAATTGCCTGAACCCAGGAGGCGGAGGTTGCGGTGAGCCGAGATCGCGCCATTGCACTCCAGCCTGGGTGACAAGAGCGAAACTCCGTCTCAAAAAAAAAAATAAAATAAAAAAAAAATAAAAAAAATAAAAATAAAAATAAGGTTTGAATTTACAGAATGTAACACTCTCTCTGAAGAGTATAAAGAGTATATATCCCAATAATTATATTTTAATTTTTTTTATCTCTTTGAAGATAATATTGGGAGGATGCCCTATTGTTTATATTTTTAAGCTCTTTGGATACAACATCTGTAGTTTCTTTTATTGGTTATTGTGACTTCTGAAATAACATCTCTCTTGTGTGAAACTCAGCATGAGGTCAGCATGTGTTAGTCCTGTCTCCTTGCCACTTAATACCTGGCCAGCACAACAACCTGTGATTGATGGTTGACGCCTAGTAGTGCTGACATGAACTACTGCCTGAAAAAGGACAGCTGTGTCCTCTCTCCCCATTTGTTTTAGGATTTTTGCAATAAAGCACATCACCCCAAATGGTCTCTGCTACCCTTTTAAAAATCAAATATTTCTACATGAGCTGTAAATTTTCGAGAATGTTTTGCTGTATCAGCCCTTGCCTGACAAGGAATAACATGAACTAGCTTATGTTTCACGATCATCTTCCAAGTGCTGTAGCAACTGAGTTGGCCTCTTCTTGTTGGCAGTTCTTGGCACCGGCACAATGGTAGGTTCTGAACTTGCACCATACTCTGATCGTCATCCAAATTGCAGTGTTTTGGTTCATGTGGAAAATCAAGGTTACAGTTTGCGTTCACAGAATGAAATTTCCCAGCAGTGTTCTGTGATTGTCAGAGTGATGTAATTTGATATATTAAAAATCAACAATTGTATTTTTCTCAGCTTTGTTTTTTAGACTGAAAATGATTTGGAGTTTTGGTGAACCTTTACATTTTGACACCACAGGAGCCAGCCACATGGCCAAACGTGTCCGCTGCCAGTGTTTGCTTGACATACAGAATAGGAGAACATTAAGGAACTCTCAGGTTGGGAGGAGGGATCTGTTGACCAGGACATCAGACTGAGGTTTCTTGTTTTTGTTTTTGTAAGCACTATTTTTAAACTCTTAAACAAGTAGAGGGACTTATTTTAATATTCTAGGTATAGAAGAAATAGCCTTTATGACAGTCTTAGTTCTAAATGAAATAGAACCCATCTTTGTAAACATTAAGAACTAGATCCTGTATATAGAAGCAGGGAAAAGAACAGACAAGTTTACTTGGTTTATCAGAAGCCATAAAACCCTTAGAGGAGATTAAAACCTTTTCTCCTTTTCTTTGTAGATGGCTCTGAGAGGTTCCTCTGCGAATCTGTTTTCAGCTATCAAGTGGCATCCACACTTAAACAAGTGAAACATGGTAAGCACTTGAGTGTCATGTACTTGATTGTGAGAATACATTTGCTAGGGGGTAGATGAGGCTGTGACAAAAACCTCCAAACTCAGCAAGGCTATTTAAGTGGACTTCCTAAATTAAAGAACATTCTGGGCTGGGCGCAGTGGCTCAAGCCTGTAATCCCAGCATTTTGGGAGGCCGAGGCAGGTGGATCATGAGGTCAAGAGATCGAGACTATCCTGGTCAACATGGTGAAACCCCATCTCTACTAAAAATACAAAAAATTAGCTGGGCATGGTGGCGCGTGCCTGTAATCCCAGCTACTCAGGAGGCTGAGGCAGGAGAATTGCCTGAACCCGGGAGGCGGAGGTTGCGGTGAGCCGAGATGGCGCCATTGCACTCCAGCCTGGGTAACAAGAGCGAAACTCCATCTCAAAAAAAAAAAAAAAAGAACATTCTAAGGTCTTAATCTAGTCATAATATCCACATTGAGGCTTAAGGTTGGGACTGGGTGCAGTGGCTCACACCTGTAATCCCAGCACTTTGGGAGGCCGAGGCAAGAGGATCACCTGAGATCAGGAGTTTGAGACCAGACTGGCCAACATGGTGAAACCCCATCTCCTGACATCAGGAGTCCAAGACTAGCCTGGCCAACATGGTGAAACCCTGTCTCTACAAAAATACAGAAATTAGCCAAGCATGATGGCAGGTGCCTGTAGTCCCAGCTACTTAGGAAGCTGAGGCGGGAGAATCACTTGAACCGGCAGGCGGAGGTTGCACCAAGATGAGATTGCGCCATTGCACTCCAGCCTGAGCAACAGAGTGAGACTTCATTCCCCAACTCCCCCCAAAAAAAGAATCTTTAGGGGGAAAAAAAATCCATCTAGAAATTATTTTTATACCAGTCATCTTGGTGGCTGGTGGCAGTCCCGTGGGTAATACATTGTTGTATAATATTCTCTTCTTTTTTTTTTTTTTTTTTTTTTTTTTGAGATGGAGTTTCGCTCTTTTTTCCCAGGCTGGAGTGCAATGGCGCGATCTCGGCTCACCGCAACCTCTGCCTCCTGGGTTCAGGCAATTCTCCTGCCTCAGCCTCCTGAGTAGCTGGGATTACAGGCACACACCACCATGCCCAGCTAATTTTTTTTTGTATTTTTAGTAGAGACGGGGTTTCACTATGTTGACCAGGATGGTCTCGATCTCTTGACCTTGTGATCCACCCGCCTCGGCCTCCCAAAGTGCTGGGATTACAGGCGTGAGCCACGGCGCCCAGCCTAATATTCTCTTCTTGACTCTTTACAGATCAGCAAGTTGCTCGGATGGAAAAACTAGCTGGTTTAGTAGAAGAGCTGGAGGCCGACGAGTGGCGGTTTAAGCCCATCGAGCAGCTGCTGGGATTCACCCCTTCTTCAGGTTGATGCTGCCTGGATGGTCACCTGTGGTGCATAGCTAGTTCAGAGCCAGTGGGGGACTTTCTCACAGCATACATGGCCATCCAGAGAGATCCACAGCTAGGTCGCTGAATTGTTAATGCACATTTGTACTTGGTTTCTCTGTATCAATTCACAGGCAACAAATACTTATATGTGTGATCTTTCAGGGAATGTTTTTGTTTATTTGTTTTTAAAAGTATTGGGAATCAGATTAAGACAATCAGTTTCAGAGAACCAGAAGGTTTGGGGTTAAGAGATATTTATAAAATTTACACAAGCCAGGTAAGGTACCTATCAGATTTAGCCAACTGAATGGCATCTGTCCTGTCATCCATACAGTGCCTGGAAATATTCACCAGTCAAGGTCAAGGTCAGCCTCTGTGGTTAAAAATAGAGCATTTTGACCTAAAAAAGTTATTTTGCAGATGAATGTGATTTCAACTCAGGACCTATCCAAATGGGGAATTTTCAAATACTCATTTTTTTCCCCTATTTTTAGACATCAATTCTATAGATTCTGACTTTTTCTACCTTCTTCTAGACATGCCAAATGCTGGCAAAAAAAAAATTGCTTTTTGGATATGGCAGCACGTGCAAAAATAAAGCAGTAAGCAAAATCCTTTTAAACACGGAAATCCTAAGTTCATCTCATTGGTGAACTCAAGCAGTTCTGTAGCAAATAAATCCTTTGAAAGAGCTCCAAATTGGTGTCTTTATCCTTTCAAAATCTCAGGGATTTGGGATGAGGAGAAGAGGTCAAATTACTTTTTACAAGAAGGGAATCTAAAAACCATTTCTCCTAAAAAATAGTAGACTCGCTTTACATCAGGGATATTTGTCTTTATAGGAGTACATGAATTTCTCTTGATACTTAAGTAGATTTTTTTTTAAGAGACACAGTGTTGCTATGTTGCTCAGGTTGGTCTTGAACTCCTGGCCTCAAGTGATGGGATTACAGGCATGAGCCACTGAGCCTGGCCTCAAGTAAGTTTTTATACCATGATAGGGAAAAATCTGGAAGGCTGAGAGATGTGCTTCGTTTCCCCTTGTAGGACCCCAGGTTCCACAGTAAACAACTGGGATAATCATTTATTACATTGTATGCAAATTTTGCCTTAGACAGCGTTTGTCAGTTTCTCATTAATAACTTGCACTGATCTACTTAGAGTTGCTTAATTATAAGTAAATATAATCCTAGTAGCAATTGGCCTTAATCTCAGGAGTTCAATAACATGTTCTACCTGATGGGAGGTGGTGACCTCATTCAGTCCATTAAGAGTCTGAGCCCTGTGAAGTTAAACACCTGCTCATGGTCATATAGCCCAGGCAGAAGAAAATCTCAGAACTTGGAATAGAGCCCAGTTGCCTGATAATTCATCTCATTATTGTCTCTAAAGCAATCAGAGACTGGGCATGGTGGCTCTCCCCTGTAATCCCAGCACTTGGAAAAGCCAATGTGGGTGGATCACCTGAGGTCAGGAGTTCAAGACCAGCTTGGCCAACATGGTGAAACTCTGTGTCTACTGAAAATACAAAAATCAGCCTGGTGTGGTGGCACACTCTTGTAATCCTAGCTACTCAGGAGATTGAGGCACAAGAATCACTTAAACCCAGGAGGCAGAGGTTGCAGTGACCCGAGATCATGCCATTGCACTCCAGCCTGGGTGAAGAGCGAGACTCTGTCCCAAAAAGTAATAAGAAAAATAAAAAATAATGCAAATCGGAGCACAAGAAGTACCAGTCCACTAACTCAACCTTTTCCATATTAATAATTCTCAACTAAAACAAAGAAGTTCCCTACTTGAAAGCATTTTAGTTTTTAACAGTACTTCTTAGCATCAACCATCTTGATAATCACCAAAGGAAAAATTTTAAAATACCTAGACTGCAATAAACCTTTAAATTGGATTTTCAGTGAGAATTCAGAAGCAATCACTGCCTTCCTCTTGTTTCATTTGTGTAACCATGCAGCAGAGGCACTATGTTATCTCATGTTTACACTTTGGTATTAGAACTTATTACAGAATATTTTCTCTAAATTGGATGTTTCTTTATATGACCTTAGAAACTGAAGTGATCTTAGCATTAAACAAAAATGCTTTCTGAAGCACCTTTCCCATTGATCACTTAGCTGCCATTTTAGTCTTTCCAAGAATAAGACTCTCACAATTTTTTGAAGAGAGTACCTCCCTCTCTGTACCTTTCTGTCAGTCATGTCACATCATCCACAACTCCTGTTACTATGCTTTGGGCTCAAAGATGATCCCAGTTGCTCATCTGTCATCTGTTATCTCTTGTACCAGTCACTCACAGGCATTATTTATAATCCTCTGAATAACACAGCAAGATACGTAATACCCCCTAATATAGAAGAGGAACTTGAAGCTCAGAGCAAGTGTCACTTGCCAAGGCTGCGCGGCCAAGTCAATGGCCAAATCTGGACTTCAGTTCAACTCGGCCAGACTCAAAGCAGCTTCTTTTAGATGCACTATGCCACCTCCCACCAAACCCAACCCAGTACATTGTATTAGGAAAAATCGTAAAACTTTTTTGATTAAATAGTAAAATGGACCGGGCACGGTGGCTCAAGCCTGTAATCCCAGCACTTTGGGAGGCCGAGGCGGGTGGATCACGAGGTCGAGAGATCGAGACCAACCTGGTCAACATGGTGAAACCCCGTCTCTACTAAAAATACAAAAAATTAGCTGGGCATGGTGGCGTGTGCCTATAATCCCAGCTACTCAGGAGGCTGAGGCAGGAGAATTGCCTGAACCCAGGAGGCGGAGGTTGCGGTGAGCCGAGATCGCGCCATTGCACTCCAGCCTGGGCAACAAGAGCGAAACCCCGTCTCAAAAAAAAAAAAAAAAAAATAGTAAAATGAAGTAACTACCTGGAGAAAATAAGCCTTGCACCACCTTCCCTCCTCCCTCCCAGGGCTTGGCAAAAAGAGAGCTCAAGCATGATGAAGGAATGGCTTCAGAAACAGGAATTAGCTGTATGCTGGCTTCTACATATCCTCTTAAGATTCAAGATGGAGAAAATATTAACAGCTTAGGGAAGGCTGTTCTGGGGACACCCAAGTATCCCCAGAGGGCAGATGGCAACCAGTGACCAGGACCCACAGTCGGCCACCCTAAGAGCGCAGGTGGTAACACTGCCTTTTGTGCATAAGACATTTTCCAAAGTATTTTCACTTACCTTGTCTCTTGATTCTCTCATCAATCCTGTAAATAAATTAGACAGGTTTTTTGCTTTTTCATAGGGTCTCACTCTGTTGCCCAGGTTGGAGTGCAGTGATGCAATCATAGCTCACCACAGCTCCAACCTTTTGGACTCAAGCAATCCTCCCGCCTAAGCCTCTGGAGTAGCTGGGACCACAGGTGTATGTCACCATATCTGGCTTCTTTTATTATTATTTTTGTAGAGATGGGGTCTCATTGTGTTGTTCAGGCTAGTCTCAAACTCCTGAGCTCAAGTGATCCTCAGCCTTGGCCTGCATGAGCCCCCATACCCAGCAAACTTAAGATAGGCAAGTGTTATTTTATGGTTGAGAAAACAGGCACAGAGAAGGTAAGATACCAAGATTATAGCTAATAAGCAAGGGGCTGGGTGCGGTGGCTCACACCTGTAATACCAGCACTTTGGGAGGCCAGGGCAGGAGGATCACTTAAGGTCAGGAGTTCCAAGACCAGCCTGGCCAACATGGAGAAACCCTGTCTCTACTAAAAATACACAAATCAGCTGGGCATGGGGGTAGACACCTGTTATCCTAGCTACTCAGGAGGCTGAGGCAGGAGAATCACTTGAACCTAGGAGGCAGAGGTTGCAGTGAGCCAAGATCGCACCACTGCACTCCAGCCTGGGTGACAAAGCAAGACTCTGTCTCAAAAAAAGAAATTGTTAATGTCAATCTGACACATAATTCCATGTAACTTTTATCTCATGGTAATGAGATAGCAATAATACTTGTTTTACACAAACAAAATTTCCCCTTTTGACTTCACAATTAATTGTCCAGCATCAGCTTTGAAGTCCAGAGGTTTCACTAATACACAAATGTGTTACTGATTACTGCTGTCCCCTAACTGACACCCGGAATGACAGTGTCTGGACCCTAAATCAGGTTCCTGACCCGAGGACCTCTCTTTATCTGCCCATTTGCCTGCAGCCTGTGGCTCCCCTTCCCCACGTGGCTGTGAGTCTTTGAATCTGCTGTTCCCAGTCAGAGTACCAGATACTAAAATGGTAGAAACCGGGCCTTAAGGCTAGAACCCTCACCTCTGTAAAGGGAAGAGGCCAGAGCCAGGAGACTCCTATCATCCAGAGGAAGAGGAGGAAGCTGCTCAGGAGCTGGCCCCCTTTTAGGCAAACGTAAAAAAATACTATACTTGGAGGAGGCCGCTTTGCCTCTCCCTGTCCTTTGGCCAGAGCACCTAACTTTGTCGAAAATATCTTGCCAGGCCTTCTAATTGCCTGAAGTTCAACCAAAACAAAGCCTTTCATTTAACTAAAGAGATGATAGTCTTGAGTTACAGGTACTTGGGAGAGTTAAAGCTTGGACTACAGGCCAACTGTAATGATACCAGATCTTTTCCTGTTTTCCCAGAGCTGAGTTTGGGATGGAGATGACACTAGCCTTCTGTGCATAAATGTATTAGCATCTGGTCAAAGAGAGGGTCTTGGAATTGTAGAGCTGAAAGAGACCTCAGAGGTCGTCTAGTTCCCCCTGCATTTACATATAGGAAGTTGGGACGTTACCTATCTGGTTCACTGCTGTATCCTCAGTACCTAGGACACTACATGGCACATAGTAGGTGTATCATAGGTCTCTGCGGAGCAAATACATAGGAATTTGTGTGTTGTCTCTATTTTAAAAACCACTAGCTATTTCTAGGCCAGACATGGTGGCTCATGCCTGTAATCCCAGCACTTTGGGAGGGCAAAGTGGGCCAGCCTGGCCAAGATGGTAAAACCTTGTCTCTACTAAAAATACAAAAATTATTTGGGTGAGGTGGTGTGTGCCTGTAATCCCAACTGCATGGGAGGCTGAGGCAGGAAAATCACTTGAACCCAGGAAGTGGAGGTTGCAGTGAGCTGAAATCACGCCACTGCACTCCAGTATGGATGACAGAGTGAGACTCCGTCTCAAAAAAACAAATAAAAGAAAGAAACTACTAGCTATTTCTTTTTTTTTTTTTTTTTTTTTTTGAGACGGAGTTTCACTCTTGTTACCCAGGCTGGAGTGCAATGGCTCGATCTCGGCTCACCGCAACCTCCGCCTCCTGGGTTCAGGCAATTCTCCTGCCTCAGCCTCCTGAGTAGCTGGGATTACAGGCACGCGCCACCATGCCCAGCTAATTTTTAGTATTTTTAGTAGAGACGGGGTTTCACCATGCTGACCAGGATGGTCTCAATCTCTTGACCTTGTGATTCACCTGCTTCGGCCTCCCAAAGTGCTGGGATTACAGGCTTGAGCCACCGCGCCCGGCCACTACTAGCTATTTCTAAGGCAAAATCCATAGTGGAGTAATACCTGAGGTAATTCAGATAGTTAATGGGCACAGCCAAGACTATCACCCAGATCTCAGCCCAGAGCTCCTGTAACATCACCCTGACACGTGGAGGCTGTGGAACAAATGGAAACCATTCCAAAGCAGCCATCTCATATGATCCCATCCACACAATGAGCCAAGGCAAAGGGCAC